GGGAGGCACCGACTAGAAGGTCATCAAGGCAGTGATTTCGACATCGAATGTAAAATCCTAGCCTACGAGAATGAGATCGATGCCAGAAAGATACTGGAAGCGTTGCATATTCGCACGAAAAATCCAGGCCTGAACAACCGAAATGAATGCTTGGCCATAACAAGTGAACTCTTGCCGTTCATTCCCTTTTGTGGACTTTGAGATCACCCGCACAGTTCTTTTCTTACGATCATCAAAGAGGTCTCATTGATCCCTTGTTGTTCACATAGAGTGGGACGTAATGCTGGTGGAACCGCAGAAGGTTGGTCTTTTTGCTGGAACCTTTCCGTAATTTTGTTCCCGGGAGTCGTTGCAACTAGCCTAGCGCGTTTGGACGCTTGGTCGGGTAAGCCACAGACCAGGAGCTTCGAACTATCTTCAGGACCTGGAGACGACGATTCAGTCGAAACGTTACCATGCGTTTCAGCCATAACAAACCTGTACGGCAAAGCAGTATCAAAAATTACGTAAAAGTAGATTTCTTGACAGATGCATTGCTGCAACTCTGCGAATACACCCTCAAGAAGTGTACTTTGATATCAGAAAACCTCAAAATAGTCAAGTCGCATCGCGAGATGGATTAGGCTCGGGGAGAGGAGATGCGGTTGACAGGCGCTGCTTGCTTACTTGGTATGTATTGAATGCGTGTCTTGCCTGTAGGCTATTTTGTCTTTTGTTGCTTTGGAAGTGCTTCTTTTGAGCTGAAATTCAGTTATCATCTGGATACATGGAATTCAACAAATTGCGATTGAGACCTAGTCCGGCATCGAGTGTACAGCGCACGGAGCGCGATTAGCAAACGCGCGGTGTGTATCGGCTCAAGAATGAACTGTATGTCACCCCGCTCATGTGCGCGACCGCTCAGTGGTCACTGTTGAGCAACGGATGCGCGTCGATTCTACCTATCATCGTTGAAACTTGGAGATGAGCAGTAGATCGGTATTGTGTAATAGATTCGCCGCGCGCGGCAGTCGCATACCATTCGCCTCGTCATTACAGTTCTAGCATTCTTCATACAGCTCAATCGACATGCGATTATTATTTTTGGCATGATTCTAATATTAGTTCTTTTGTTCATGTATTTCTTACTTGCTGCTGCATTGCACTCCTTCGCGCGCCGCGTTTCCCTTACGGCGACGCGACAATCTCGAGCCATCTGCACCACACCTGTCGGAACTAGGTCGCGCCATACACATCGCGCGGTGATTGTTAACCCGCTATTACAGGATGTCCACCGCAATTGTTGGTGAAGCATTCAATTCGCGCTTAGTCCATGGTAGCTATTCTAGGACAGTGCTAGTGCGATAAAGGCTCATCCGACGCATTTCTACCACGCTTTGTTAACTTTTCTTTGCATTTAGGTTGGAATCTGGTCCCATTTTCCACTTTTTCACTGTTTTTTTTGATTAACTCCAAAATGTTTGAGCAGGTTTTCGTGTGAGAATGTAATCTTTTTTGTATGCTTTTCACTCACCAATGCTTGTAGGCCAGAGTACACAGTTACTCCTCCGATGAGAATTGCTCGAGAAGCATTATGAGTATCTAATCACATCTAACTTTTTGAGCGCAGTAGAATAATATGCAATGCAATATAACAAGCTCGAAATGGTGGAGAATATGGAAAAGAACAAGAAAATTCACGGACCTCGAAATCACTAAAACAAATGTTTTATTCCATTCAGCGTTTTGATACAACCAGCATTAGTGTAGAGCGCTATGACTGGCTGTATTAAATCTAGGTTAAAATGGAGTTCACTATAACATAAACGT